ACTAAAGCCTTACTTAATGGTTAAATAAGATTTCATATTATAAGATATTGTTGACCCTAAAAGGTGAAGGAAAGTGTTACTAAATAAAATTTCATATTATAAGATATTGTTGACCTTCAAAATTACACGAACTAGGCCAAAGTAATTTACGAGCTAACTACATCCTTTTGCTATTGCGGGTGTGCCAATCCGCAAACCAAGCTCGGCCAGACAAATAGCATGAATATGGTGGCGTGGTGATGTCCAATTTTTGCATTTAGTGACTTCGGCCGAGGAATGAATACTTTTCCCCTTAGCTTCATCTTTTTTCTTTTGTATTTCTGTTTGGATGTACTTCAAGAGTATGTGAAGGTTTTTTAGATCTGGTGGCTCTCCCAGGTGTGGCAGTTCTAATAGCAAGTTTAGGTTAGAGTTTGTTTCCCATTACAGGTTTGAAAACTTTTGCATTGTGAAGCCTTGGTCGAATGTACCACTCAGGTTGAATTCTCCATTACGGTTGCCTCGGTGGTTGCTGGCAAGGTGTTTGGGGCGGCACCGGCAACGTTCTACCATTGCAAGATTGGTATTAGGGTTATGCTTACTGTCAGTTTTTTTTTTTTTTTTTTTTTTTTTTTTTTTTTTTTAATATCTAGTTTTCCCACTTTGTTGTGGGCTTTTTGCTTATCTATTTAGACCATCTCCAATGGTGACCTAAAACCTAAAAATATTTAGCCCAGAAAATTTAGGTTTTAGCCCACAAAATCTTTCTATTTTGGTTCGTGCCAACGGCACCATCTTTGCTGACAGAAATCCATACCAAACATAAAGCAATATCTTCGTCAAATGTCCAATTACGACCTCTAACATGCTCTTTTGCCATCTTGAAAACTTTGGAAATGAGAAGAAATGGTAGAAAGAAAAATTGGAAGAATTGTAGGAGAAAAGTGAGTTTTGTGTGGATGTTTGAACACATAGATAGGTATTTATAGAGTTTTTGGTTGAATTTTAAGTTAAATAATTGTTTTAAATTATTTTAGCCGTTGAATTTAAATTTGGACCGTTAGATCTTTTTTTTTATCGTTAGATTTGATTATATTCGATCTAAGTCATTGGATTCAATAATTATATAAATATAAAACTAAAAATAATAATAATTTCAACCTGGACTGTTGGATTAACCAACGGCCCATTTAAATCCAGCTGTTGGATTGAAAAAAATAGCCGTTAGGCTACATAGTTGGCTGACACCCGGGGGACAATCCCATGTGGGTGGGCCCGGCTTGTGTCATTCTCTGGCACGTGCAGGCATGATTTCTCTGTCTGGGCAAGTGGAAGTTGGGTAGTGGGCTTCATAGCCCTTGTTTCAGTCTCAGTTGGTGGGACCCATTTTGTTTTGTGGCCTAAAATTGGGCTGGTATTTGGCCTCAGAATAAGTTTTAGGTTTTAGGTTAATTTTAGGTCATGGGTTGGAGTAGATTTTGGGCGGGAAAAAAGGGAAATTTTAGATTTTAGGTCATTGTTGGAGACTATCTTAGGGGGGTGGTTGGCTTTACCCAAATGTAGTACTTTATATTATTTAATGAATGATGCTCTTTTCACAAAAGATGAACCCTATAAATTAATCTCTAATTGTGCCACTTATTACTACTGTTTAATAGTATTCTTTTATACTTATTGTTGGTGTATTTCATTAATACATATATATACATATATATATATATGGTGTTGCGTGTATAATGAGAGATTGGCTGCAATGCCATGTCTCTTGGATTAAAGAAGCATGGCTGCAGTTCCATGTCTCTTGGATTGAAAAAGTACAATTAAGGGATATGTCCCTTGTTATGAAATCAGAAAGTTATGATATTTTGATAAAAATAAAAAATAAAAAAAAATACATACATGATCTAGCAATAGGATTGCATCCTTTTGGAAAATGAAAGGATGTAGTAGGTTGTAATTTTGATTGAAAGATGCATCCATTCAGTGGCAATGATGCAGGAAAGAACATGACCTTTTATATGCATACTTTGATCCATCTTCAAAGGGTTCCATAATATCTATATATAGCCCATGTTGGTTGCATATTTGGATATACAATTCTTCAAACAATAGTTTCTTATCCTCTTTCTCTCCATCAAAACCATACATTTTTCCTTTAGAAGATTTTAAGGGAATTTCAGTTCTTGCTAAACTAAAATTCCAAATTTTGTTGTATCTTGGAAGTGATTTGCTTTAGATCCGTTAGCAAACTCATATTAGAGTGGGGGTTAATATCACTTTCAGGAAAACATATTAACGTGCCTCAAAACCATTTTTCTATCAAATTCTCAACCTTATCCTAACAATCTTAAAGTGATATTCGCAATGGAGAAGATGTCTGAAATTATGGCTTTGTTTGCAATGAACGATGGTGCTTTCTGGAAACTCGACAAGTTTGATGGAACCAATTTCATGCGCTGGAATGACAAAATACGTTGGATGTTGACGGCCCTGAAAATTGCTTATGTTCTTGATCCAAATCTACAGCCAATTCCTAAACCTAATGATCCATATACTGAACAAATTATTGCCAACAAAAAGAAGCGTGAAGACGATGAATTGATGTGCAGAGTGTTGGAAATGTGCCCTAAAACCAATCATATGATGATACTTTACGGACATTTCAAACTAATGTAGTTTAAAGGGCAAACATTATTGTTTGAGCCGTCTCATATAAATGTTATATGCTTAAACGATAAGTCCAAGGAATATGTGATTGGAAGAATGCGATCTAAAGAAGTTAGATTCATGAGACCATTCTTTCGTTGACACATCCTAAACGTTCCTGATCATAGGATTGTCAATTGGGCATTGACAGTCCGTTAAGATCAGTACGTGCTATGTCTTCTCTCAGGGAGAGTGACTAGTCTCGAGTCATTGGTGTGTGTGACATCAAGACAAGTACGTAGGTGCTCAATAGAGAATGAGTTCACTGAACACGATTAACGAAGAGTTCTCATATTCATGTCACATGAGAACTCATGGTTGGGATAATGCAAATTAGTCTTTTGACCTGAGGCATCACAGTTGTCTTGTGGTTAGGTCCTTAATCTTTGATTATGTCAACGTCACTCTATCAGGATGTCCACGGCATCGTTGGGGTTAAGCCACTTAGCCATGGAGGCAAGTGAATGCGCAACAAGGGATCTCTAACCTTCAAACTGTTTGAGGTATAATACTCTATGATATGATTTGGAATCTCTGGCCAGAGTATGAATGAAATGTTGGAATGCGTTCCAGATCACATTCAAGGTAATCATATAAGCACAAGATTCACATTGGATAGTAGACATGAATAAACTATCAAACCAAACAATGTGGTCAAGAGTATTGTATTAGAGAAAGACCGTATTGCATTTGTAATCCTAAACTGAATAGGTTCTCCACCTCTTCTGATTAGCTTGGGTAACCATGATATGCTGCTAGGTGTCACTCATGGTTTGTGGAAGCCCTAAAAGTGTATTATCACTAACGGGAGAATTGAAAGTAAGTTTCAATTCACAGTCGATTTGAAAGAGTTTGAATCGCCCACTGCCTCGCTAAAAGGAACCTAATGGATCGTACACCGTGTAAGGTAGAGTTTGAAGATTCAACGGAGATGAGTAAGAATAATTAAATGGTTTAATTATTTATGGCAAGGATTAATTAATATGATTATTAATCAAACGAATAAGTTCGTTGAAGACCTCGGGATAGTTTTGGACCTTAAGGCCCAATGGGCTTCGAACGTCAAGCCCATTGACTTAAGTTGTATGACAACTTAATGAATAATGATTCACAAAGGCCCAAATAGCCCAATTAATCCCCATAGGCCGGCCATTTAGAGGAGGGTAGTGAACTTGGCTTAATTGCAAGTTTGCCACTCCATTGTGAGGTGGTATAAAGACATCTTTATAGCCATTTCATCCTTAGGGTTTTCTAGGGAGTAAAGATGAGAACATAAACCTCCCTTTGCTCTCAAAGAATTCGGCCAATCTAGAGGGGAAAATCTAGCAATCTTACTTCCTCTAGGTCACTCATTTCTTCTTCAATATACCTTGGTGTGGAGACTTAGAGGTTCTCAATTTTGGGAACTTGGAGAAACCTTTTCATCCATCCAAATCCATGGATCCAAGATGCAAGGAATGAAGGCCCTCTCTTTGGGTGATTAGCCTTTGCTTATGCAAAGAGGAATCTACAAAGGTATTGATTTCTCAACTCACTTTGTTTTGAGTTGAGTCTTGATTCACCTATCTACTAGGCTTTGAATTTCATGGGTAAATGTTTTGTTTTAAGTGCATACAAGCATGATTCCGCCTTTAATATGTTAATTGCATGCTATTGATGTTGCTTAAATGAACATGTTTTTCACAAATTTTCCTTCACAGAGGACATATCCTGAATACTTTGTCGGATCAGCTTTACAATTTATTTTCTACAACTCAATCTCCAAGGGAAATTTGGAAAGCTCTTGAAGACAAGTATACATCGGCGAAAAAAGGGACCGATAAATTTATCAAGTTTAAGTTCTATGAATTCACTATGACTAATGACAAATCCATTGTGGACCAAGTTCAAGATTTATTACTTTTGGTCACAAAACTTCGTGAAGACAAAATAATTATTCCATATGCATTACAAGTAGAGGCTATCATGTCAATATTACCCCCTGGTTGGACCAATTATAGAAAGAAGCTTTTGCATATAGCAGAAGATATAAGTCACCAAGATCTTTTGAAGGGGATCCAAATTGAAGAAGAAACTCGGAAACGAGAAAAATATTTTTCCTCACAAGACTTCACTAAGATTAATTATGCTGAAAGGAGCAATAGTAAGTTCAAAAAGAACTTGAAAGCGAATAACCTAGGAAAGTTCAAAAAGACATCTTTTGGCACCAACAGTGGCAAGAAAAATGCAACTTGCCACATCGTGGAAAGAAAGGCCACTTTATTCCTGATTGTAGGCTCAAGAAAAATAGGGACACCAAATTAAACAAGGCAAATATGGTAGAGGAAAATCATACTAAAGATATAATTGCTATGGTGTCTGAAATGCAAATTTGCATGATCATTGAATTAAACATGGTTGCAGCCATTAAATCTTCTTACTGGTGGCTTGATTCTGGTGCTACCATATATGTTTGCAATGATAGAGCACAATTTAAGATCTACAAAACCAAAAAGGATGGTCAAGAAGTACTAATGGGCAATCACAATGGTGCTAAGGTTCTTGGAAAATGGACTGTTGAACTACAATTCACTTCTGGAAAAACAATGACTTTGACAAATGTTTTTTTATGTCCTAGACATTAAGAAAAATCTTGTATATGCAAATCTAGTGTGTAAAAATGGTATTAAAGTGGTGTTGGAAGCCGACAAATTTATACTATCAAAGAATGGTGTATTTGTTGGCAAGGTTATTCATTTGATGGAATGTTCAAACTCAGTATCAATAAAGTGAATTCTTCTGTTTCTATTGTTGACTCTTCTTCTACTTTATGGTATTCTCGTTTAGCACATTTGAAATATAGATCTTTAAAATATTTGTCTAAACATGATTTAATTTCTTGTAAAGATGTTACATTTAAAAATTGTGAAATCTGCACACAAGCTAAAATTACAAAGAAACCTTTTCAAAAAGTAGAAAAAAATACTGAAATATTAAACTTAGTTCATTCTTATATATGTGAGTTTAATGGTGTTTTAATTAGAGGAGGAAAAAGCTATTTTATTACTTTCATTGATGACTGTTCTAGATTTACTTATGTTTATTTAATGTCTAATAAAGATGAAGCCCTTGAATTTTTCAAAAAATATAAGGTTGAGGTTGAAAACCAAAAGGAAAGGAAAATTAAAATCCTTCTAAGAAAACTCATGTGTCACCATGTGAAGTATGGAAGGGCATTGCCATGTCTCTTGGATTGAAGAAGCATGGCTACAGTGTCGTGTCTTTTGGATTGAAGAAGCATGGCTGCAGTTATGTGTCTCTTGGATTGAAAAAGCACAACTAAGGGATATGTCCCTTGGTATGAAATCAGAAGGTTATGATCTTTTGATAAATAAAAAAAAAAGACATACATGATCTAGCAATAGGATTGCATCTTTTCAGAAAATGAAAGGATGCAACAGGTTGTGATTTTGATTAAAAGATGCATCCATTCGGTGGCAATGATGCAGGAAAGAACATGATCTTTTGTATGCATACTTTGATCCATCTTCAAAGGGTTTCATAGTATCTATATATAGCCCATGTTGGCTGCATATTTGGATATACAATTCTTCAAACAATAGTTTTTTATCCTCTTTGTCTCCATCAAAATCATACAGTTTCCTTTTAGAAGATTTTAAGGGAATTTCAGTTCTTACTAAACTAAAATTCCAAATTTTGTTATATCCTGGAAGTGATTTGCTTTAGACCCGTTAGCAAACTCATATTAGAATGGGGGCAAATATCACTTTAAGAAAAACATATTAACGTGCCTCAAATTCATTTTTCTATCAAATTCTTAACCTTATCCCAACACTTATAAGTTAGACATTTTAAATACGAATCTCATGGATGGTTCAATATAATTTATTATGGCAGACTCATTGTATGACTTACCTCGAATTGCCTACTCCCTGAGTTTAAGTAATTATATTAATAGAAAATAAAACTAAAAACCTCCAGTCATAGGTTGCCCCAAAGTTTTTAGTTAGACTCTTATACAATGTTTGGATGAGAGATTTTAAAGTTTCATGGAATTTAAGCTAAATTTGATGAATGGATCTTAAAAATAGATGCAACATATATGGAAGATTTTATTTTATTTTATTTTATTTTTTTTTGAGAGAATAGATATAAGAAAACTATAAATGACAACATTTTAGTGGATACGGTATTGAGTTTTTACCTATGCGTTCCGAGTTCAAAACTATTACTCTCCTAAATTATTATAATAGTTTCGAATCTCTTCCCTTCCCCAGAATAATAATAAATTTTTTAGGTGTCCTTGTAGTACATATATTATATATAATGTTAAAGTTTACAGTCCTTTACTAAGTCGTTATTAGTGTTCTTTTAGTATATTTTTAACAATTGAAAATCTAAGAAAAACTAATGAAAATGACTTGAAAATTTTAAGTTTTAACGATAAGGACAAAATAAAGGGTAAAGTGAATAGTACCAAGATTAACTTATTAGTGTAAAAATATGATTTTTCTTTAAAGTGAACAGTATTAAAATCTTTTCGTTAAAGTTCCCTATATATATAATGTTTCGAAGTTTTGAAAGCCTATTATCCAAACATAGCCTTAAAAATTAATGTTAAAAAAATTTGAATCCTGGGTAGAGATTGATTGATTCTACAAGAAGTTTGCACACTATGCTTAGTTTTTCGACACAGAAAAAGCTTGATAATGTTACATAAATGGGTAAAATTATTTGAAAGCTGGACATGTAGGTTTAAAGAATACGGATAATAATTGTAGAAAAGTATGATGGGAAAGATTGCCCTTGACTCGACTTCTTATCATGATATTAAAAAAATGAAGATAACCAAACCACAGGTTTTCTCCTTGAAGTTGTTGAAAAGTGCTACTGTACTTTGAAAATTTGAAAGAATAAATTACAAATATTAAATGATTCATCTCGTGCTTTTTGTGCTAAAATTTAATGTCTGTCAAGTTATACATGTGATTAAGTTGAAATGATATCAGTATGATTAGTAGTGAGTCGTAAACTTGATTCTAAAATTCTGACATGGCAAACTTCGACCCTTGACCATTTCGATTGCGAATAAGACCATGATTTGACGACGAATTTTTCAATAATAATAATAACAATAACAACAACAAAGGAGGTGATTGTTGTGGCATTGGTTTCTACCGGTGACTATTCATGACTCAAACCTGAACAAGAGTTAGATAGTGTGTATAGTTCGTTATTGATCTGTAAGCATTCTAAACTATTGGGCAAGGCTTTCCTTCTTCGATGTAAAATTTATACCCTTAACATGTCCCTTCATGTGTGACCTCAATTAAGCTTCACTTGTGGACAAACTATATTGGATAGTTTAGCTCTAATACCATCAGTTGGAAATACGAGGGAGAGATAAAAGATTATACTATTAGACAAGACTACCTTTCTTTGATATAAGAGTCATACTCTCAAGTTCTCAAACACTAGGTTTTTTGGTTGAATTTTTTGTTCTCAAATGTCATTTTAAAGTCTAGTCATTTGGTAAATCTCATTTTAAAGATGCAAATGATACATGGCTTAACTGTTGTTATTCACAGATGACTAAAGGGCTTTTGTTTTCGGTCTCGGGTGTCCCTCTCCCTAGGGGACAATGGGCTATACTTTTTTTTATACCAATAAATGGGCTTCATTTTTCCTACTAGTTTTAGGACTATTAGGGGGGCTTTAACCAACTAATGGACCACACCTTTGCTACTTTTGCATGTTTGAAATATGCACCTTTGCTACTTTAACTACAAGAAAATGCAATGGAGGACTGATACATGAATGAAACTTACGCCTTTGGGTAAGTATTTTCTATTCCGTATGCCCATCGAATTCAAGACTTGTTGATCTTTAGATGTACCACTGTAGGAGCGAGATTTCCTACACGAAAAAAATTCCTCCACAGGTTCGTTGAATATAATCCGCATGTTCGTCGAATTCCTCGTCGCGAATTTACCCTGAATGCTCCTTCTCCAAAGCTTCGTTAAGGTGGGGGAGGGTGCCTGCAAAAGATACTCCAATGCTCAAGTCAATCAATTGAATTTCCCGTAAGTAGTCACTAATCTATGTATCAACAAACCTAAACTGTTGATTCTTTATTAGTTGTGCCACAAAGCTGACAAGTTCAAAAAACCCCGGCGAAACTAACAATATTATACAAACCAAAAAACACAGTGAAAAAAGCATCCGCCGATACCTCTCGGCCTTACAGTTATACTTGTTGAGGACCATGTCCAGGTTCTTAGGGCATTGTCTAGGCTGTTGTTAGTCTCTTGCACTTGTTGGGCCTCTGTTGCCCACTACAACTATGAAAGTAACATAAGAAATAAAAGAATAAAATATATGGCAGGGTATGGAAGTTTTCAGTCAGAAGAATCTTACGGTTGAACAACACAATCTTGGAAGCAGAAAGAAATTCAAGAATATACAGATGTACAGGAGGATTAGTGCTCGGACAAATTTATGGTTAGAATCTTGATAGCAACAACGTTTTAACCGCTTCAAACTCTCTATACCGCCGAGATTTCATAAAATAAAAAATAAAAAACATTTAAATAGGTTCATCATGTTATAATAAAACTAATATGATATGAACCGATTTACAATTGTATACATTGATACAATACGAGAAAATTTAACATTATGATCACGCAATCATGTGATGTTTCTTTTTGTCGAAAAAGTTTATTTGACTAAATTTAATTGGTCAGAAACTAATTACAAACCTATTTATTATTTCCATTTCTTTTTGCAATAATGTTTCACTAAATTTATTGTTAGTGACATTTCGTATTTCAGCCTATGCAATATTCTACTTAATGATGTCGTATAAAGGAGTTTTGAGCTTTTTCTTTTTAAATAAAAGATATTAAACAAACCATGAAAGAATAATAATTTTAATAACGTCATGAAATGTCGTAGAGAAACACAACAGAAGACTGACTGAAAGATCAGTGGTGAAGTATATTACGTCGGGCTCGGGATTGTCCGTACTTTCTGGGGCACCAAGCCTCCAGAACCCAAGCATCCATATCAAAAGGTATAAACTATATATTTTATAAATCAAAGATCACTATGCATGCATTCAGACTTAAAAAAGACAAACACATAATTAAATCAGTCTGCATTGTCACATAGTCAAAAAATGAAAAGCAAAAAGCAAAAACTACCCCCAATTAAATATTGTGCTCATTTTGGTTCATGTGTAGGGTCTTTTGCTACTATTTTAGGGGTATTCAATTTTGTTGAAGCTGAATTGCATGATGTAATTCATACGGTAAACTTAGCTTGGGAGAAGGGTTGGCGTTCCCTTTGGATTGAGTGTGATTCATCCTTAGCTGTTCTTTTCACTTTTGCTTCTCATAATCGTATTCCTTGACGTTTGAGGGTTCGTTGGTTGAATTGTAGTGCGTTGCTCTCTTCTATGTGCATAAGAGTTACACATATTTTTCGTGAAGGGAATCAGGTAGCTGACCGTTTGGCAAATTTTGGAGTGGACCAT